CAAATGTCATCGTATGTCCTTTTTAAAGCCAATATATTTATATATTATTTCATTTTTTAAAAATTACAAATATAGATTGATGTACTGGTTCTTTCTAGTTGTTCTTTGGAGGCGATTGATTTACATATCAAGTGTTACTTTGGACATTTAGATATGGTATAAGATTCTTTATGTTAATTAGTCTATCTTTAGTTAATTAGTTTATTATTTAGTATTTACCATCCATTTCGAGTTTAAGAAAGAAATGAGAATTATTAGAATATGACACGCATTTTTATGTCTCTACAAGCATATCATCACTGATAAAATATAAAATTTAAAGTTAAATTATTTTTGAGTATAATAAATATATGAATATATTTAAAAAAAACGTATCACATAAATGACATTAATTTGGGAACTAGACGGGTTTTTTTCCTTTTATATCCAAGTAATACTGGAGTAGTACACTATACAACAACAACAACATCCACTAAAATTTCATAAGTGATGTATGTGGAGTGCAGAAGGGGTAGAGATGCTGTTTCCGATAGATTTTCGGCTCAAGAAGAAAAAAAGAGGCAATATATCAGTACCATCAACAAAAACCATAGACTTAATCACAACATCACAAGACCCAGTAAATAGATGAAAAGCAAAAAAACAACAACGAGTAAATAAGGCCCAACATTACGAAAACAGTAGAGTAGTGTGAACAAGTAGTACACTACATAGTTTAAGCCTCCGTTTGGCCATATATTTTGCCAAATTTACCTGTTTGTTTATAGATTTTATCCATATTTTGGCAAATCTCTAAATTCTAAAATCCAAATCCCAAAACTAGATCAAAAGCTATTTTTGGCCCAAAATATTACTATTTGGTATTTAAAAAAGTTTCAAAAATTGTCCTAAACTTTATATTTTATAAAAAAGCCCACTTTCTGTTGTTATGACCCAACTAATTCATATATACCTACTTTTCCCTCATTAAACTCACGCGGCTTTGGCCTTCTCTATAAACGGAAGAAAACTTTAGCCAAAGTTGTTGTGCCAATCTGTGGCAATCCACTGCAAAGATAAAATTTTGAAGGTAATTTGCTAAAAACTACTAATATTTGTATAAATTTTCTTCATATTTGTTTCGCTTGTTTTGTATGAAATTTCTTTAGAGTTGTTTGGTATTTTTGATAGTTTTTAAAATTTATGAGTATAAGTCACATTTCATATTTTTTCAAAATAAAAGTGAAATATATTTTAAAAAATTTCATCTTTAGACCAAATTTGATCAAAATCAGATTTTTTAAAATAAATTTGGTAATGTCAAAAACTAGCTAAAAAAGGAGTCTTATTTTGAAATTAGGAGCATTCTAGAATGTTCCAACTCCTAACGAATCAAGGCCGTTCAATTCCCTAGCTCCAATAAAACCACGGATCCCACACACGAAGCTACTCCTCTTTCTCTTTTCTCGATTCCCCGACTCACCTGATAGTCAAGACGCCCCCTCCTTCCTCTTCTCGCCGCTACTTTCCATTGGTACGTACTCATCGATCGATGATTATAACATTAATTGTTTAATCGATTTTACAGTTTGATTTTATTTCGTAATTTGTAGTGAACTTTGATGTTAATTTTGTAGATCTATTCGTGTTTTTGGTGTTTAGATCGAATTTTGACTTAGTAAAAGCGATCGAAGAAGAAGATGTTTGGAAGGACACCGAAGAAGAGCGATAGCACAAAGTATTATGAGATCTTAGGAGTTCCGAAGAGTGCTTCTCAGGATGATCTCAAAAAGGCTTATCGTAAAGCCGCCATCAAAAACCATCCCGACAAGGGAGGCGATCCTGAAAAGGTAATTTTACTGCTTTTTTCCAGGGCTTGTGTTTATAGATTACCTATTTCAGCAATTGCTTCTACCTCTGTGTACAGATTGGTCTGTGAATTGATTTAGATCTGTAATCTGTTAATTTTTATTCTTTGTATTGTTTATGCTTTAGTTGAAGTCGAGCAACTTGATAATGTTTAGTGGTTGTTTAATTATACCCTCAGATTTAGCTGAACTATAATAGAGGTATTGCCCTTAATATAATATCTTTTTTAGGTTTAATAGTTTGTGATTAATTGCTGCACCCAAGGGTGTGACTTAGTGGTCAATGAAGTGGGTTGAAAACTATGAGGTCGATATATGAATCTGTCGAAGCCTCAGTGGGGACAAATTTACAGGTACCTGTGCTGGTGGGAGGTAGCAGGTACCTCGTGAAATTAGTCTAGGTTGGCTCAAGCTGGCCCGTAATCACAATTATTAAAAAAATAGGTTGTGATTAATTGGGCTGCATGCCTTCTAAATTAGCCACAATGTGTACGTTGTTGTTACATTGTGAACTGCAATTACTGTTATGTTTTGGTTATGTTCTGTATGTAGCTGAGAGATATCTCGATGAATCAGTTTTGTTCTTTGGTTCTTTTAGCTTAAGGAGCTTGCCCGAGCTTATTAGGTTCTTATTGACGGTTGATGAATTATTTGGGTTTTTTGGTTCTTTCAGTTTAAAGAGCTTGCCCAAGCTTATGAGGTTTTAAGTGACCCGGAGAAGCGTGATATATATGATCAGTATGGTGAGGACGCTCTCAAGGAAGGAATGGGTGGTGGAGGTGGTGGACACGACCCATTTGACATATTCCAATCCTTCTTCGGCGGAAGCCCCTTTGGAGGTATGTTTGCTGCACATGCTTGAAGTTGAATTTGCTTTCTTTGTTTTCACGTTTGTGAAATTACTTTATCTACAATTTTTCTGATGTCCAGGTGGTGGAAGCAGCAGAGGTAGAAGACAAAGAAAAGGAGAGGATGTTGTCCACCCTCTCAAGGTTTCTTTGGAGGATGTTTACAATGGAACATCAAAGAAGCTTTCACTATCTCGCAATGTATTGTGCGCAAAGTGCAAGGGGTGAGTATATAGCTTGATTAGTTATGTTTCAACTTCATTTTTCATTTGTTATGGAGTCACTGTAGTGTGTGCCAGGGGCGAGTATTTTTCACTATGCCACAATATCTTGCATTCACGATTGTGTTATACTGTCATTTCCAGTAAAGGGTCTAAGTCAGGTGCTTCAATGAAGTGTTCTGGCTGTCAAGGGTCTGGGATGAAAGTTTCTATTAGACAGCTTGGTCCATCCATGATCCAGCAGATGCAGCACCCTTGCAATGAGTGTAAGGGTACTGGTGAGACAATTAATGACAAAGATAGGTGCCCACAGTGTAAGGGAGAGAAGGTTGTGCAGGAGAAGAAGGTGTTGGAAGTTCACGTGGAGAAGGGTATGCAGAATGGGCAGAAGATAACATTCCCAGGCGAGGCAGATGAAGCGGTAAGATATTTAGTCACATTTTTGAAATAATTTGTTTATAATAACTGAATCTTGACATGAGTTCATTGATTTGTGCTTTTGCAGCCGGAAACTATTACTGGAGACATAGTTTTTATCTTGCAACAGAAGGAACATCCTAAGTTCAAGCGAAAGGGAGATGATCTTTTTGTTGAGCACACATTGACCTTGACCGAGGCCCTATGTGGTTTCCAGTTCATCTTGACTCACCTAGACAACAGACAGCTGCTGATCAAGTCCCAACCTGGCGAAGTTGTCAAGCCTGGTAGGCCCAATAACCCCTAATGACCGTTAAAGATTATTTTTAATGCACTTGGAGTCTCCCATAATAGGCTGCTTCATCAGTTAATTCCCCTGGCCAGTGCCAATCTTTTAGCATTGCCCTCAAATATTTGCCATTTATGAGTCAAAATGGCAAATATAGGAACCTTTTCTTCCCAGGTCCTTATGCAACTATTTAGATTCATGTAGTCATGTGGTATTTAAGCCTCTCTCTCTCTCTCTCTGCACGTGCGCATGTGTGTTTTTTCTATGTTCTGTCTGTCTCCTGCCCTTGGTTAAATTTGGTTGTGGTTCACTTTTTGGTTTCTGATGGATAGGCTGTAGTTCTGAAAATATCTCGTGGATACTGACCACAATTTCTATTGGCTGTGCAGATCAGTTTAAGGCTATCAACGATGAAGGAATGCCAATGTACCAAAGGCCTTTTATGAGAGGGAAATTGTACATTCATTTCACTGTTGATTTCCCTGAGTCATTAACCCCAGAGCAGTGCAAGAACCTTGAAGCGGTGCTGCCGCCAAAACCCAAAATGGAAGTGTCTGAAATGGAATTGGATGAATGTGAGGAGACCACTTTGCATGATGTGAACATTGAGGAGGAGATGCGAAGGAAGCAGCAAGCAGCCCAAGAGGCTTACGACGACGATGATGATATGCCTGGTGGTGCACAGAGAGTCCAATGTGCACAGCAGTAATTGGGTATGCTTCAAGAAATTAACAGGGCCTACTCTCCCCTGGTAAAAACCATGACATTGTCAGGAATGTTGCTATCTGTGGTAGGAGGTAGATTACTAGTAAAGGAGTTGGGAATCTTTATTATGCAAACTAACACTATAAGCAGAATTTTACTGCTTGACAATTGCAAGTGTGCTTACATGTTATTCGCAATTTGTTAGTTATTTTATTCAATCGAACACCTGGCATCTTACTTCTATCCTTTTTAATTTCAAGTCCGAATGTGAAAACGAACGTGAACCTGCCTGAGGAAACTTGTGAAAGTCATTTACATGTATTTTCTCACTAATGAATTGGCATGCCTGCTCGTTATACTAGAACAGAGATGGATGGTGGACGATAGTTGGATCTTGATGACATTGACACCAGATCACTAGTTCTCTGGTTCAAAGTTATAACACGGAGGACTGCCTTTTTGAGTTACAAAAGAACGATGTGCTCCAGAGCAGTATAGCACAGAATGAGCAAATAATAAACATACGTTACTGGTAAGAGTAAAACCATAAAAAGTTAGCCTAAACGGGGAAGGGATCCCATNTTTTTACTATAATGAGATTTAAATGTCCTTAAAGCTATTTACAGACAAATATAAAGTCCAAAAAGTACTTATAATAAGCTGACAGCTTATAAGCTTACCATTTACATAGATGAACTTAAGAGTTAAGCCCAACCTATTGAAACAGGACGACTAGTTCTTAGCCTTTCTGCTAAATAAATCTCCGATGACTGACTTGAGAAAGAGTCGATCAAATACTCCTGGAGGATTAATAGTCTTAGCCATTTACAATCTGTACTAAACTATGAAAGGAACGAAAACCTGCCATTCATCTAACAAATAAAAAGAACATTTATTTTTTGTGTTCTTGATCTGATCAAACAACATTTTGTCACACAAGTAATTATGATACTTGAATCTTACGTTGTTTACTTTGATCTGGTAAAACAACAAGTTGGAAAGTAAGATTTGTTGTTTTGACCAGTGGATACAACTACAAGAAAACCCTATATAAAGAAAAAAGTTCTTGTTTAGAGTAAGTTTTGAGATTCACAAACCACTATCATCCATGGCTATTAAACCGTTGTTTATGTTAATTGCAAGAATCCTCACATTTGTTTTCCTACTCATATCACTCATCGTCCTCGCCACAACGGATGATTTTAATCAAATTTCTACTTATCGGTAAGTTTGGTTAACTTATGACCTTTATCTACGTGTACACAATCACATGTCACAAATTCAAGCTGTCAAAATAGGCTCTCGCATAAATGCAAAGTAGAAAGTCACGTATAATAGACTCAATACGGTCCAAATCTTTCTTGGACCGCGTGCATAGCAAGAACTGAGCACATCAGGCTGCATTTTTCTTTTATTTATTTATATGTACATAAAACTTCATCGAAAGAAGCATAATTCTCGTTGAATTTTTTGGTGGTTGTAAATTAAATTTGCAGTTACACGTTCTCTGTAATTGTTATTGGATTAGTGTACACATTCCTACAAACTGCCTTGACAATATTTCATATGATCTCTGGCCAAAACATTTGTGGAGATGTCTTGACTCACTTTGAATTTTATGGTGATAAGGTACGTCTATATACTTTGATCTTTTTAGAAACTCGAATATATGAACAATATTGAATTTAATAAGATGAAATCAATTTTTTTGTATCTTCATAAAACTTTACAATACCACGGCAACATTATTTGAGTGGATAACAAATTTGATATCTTAATGACTTGTATATTATATGATTAATGGTGAATGAAAATATTAAGATTTTTAAAAAAAAATTAGTTTGAGAGTAAATGCGCATCAAAGTATATAGGATTTGATATGAAGAGGTAAAAAATTCTTCAAACTGTCGGTACACAGAACATAAACTTTTACGGATAATATCGGGGTCGGCTTTTATTTTGTAATTTTGTTTTGGGGGCAGGTTTCTTCCCACATATTAGCCACTGGAGCAACAACAGGTTATGGAATTACCTCTGGAGTAGCTGCCAGTCTTCTTCTGATAGCATTCTTCTTCTCTGCAATTTCCTCTGTTTTTTCTTCTTTTAATCTCCATAATAAGAGTTGAATTCCCATATATTGTTATATGTAGTAGTGTAGTCTGTAGCCCAAGTATTTTGTGTTTTGGACGGCTAGCGTTTGTCCATAGATTCCCAAATTTGTTTTGAAAAATCTGATTTGGGTGAAGTTTGGTTTGAAGATGAGGTGTGTTTAGACATTAGTTTTCTAAACATATTTTATTTTTTTTTGAAAAAAACATGAAACATGTCTTATACCCACAAGTTCTAAAAATTATTACAAATACCCAACATTACCTTTATCAATAACATTCATTATATTATCGCAAACTATAATCTTGAACATAAATAAATTTGGTACAAAATTATTATTTTTATAATGAACTACATAATACACTATCAGATGACCGAAAAGACGAAGCAACATTGTTACAAAATAATAAATTGTGAGCTCTTTTATAAAATACAAAAGTTTAGAGCAACTTTTATAAAATGTAATAGTAATATTTTGGGTCAAAACTAGCTCTTGACCTCGTTTTGGGATTTGGGTTTTGGGTTTTGGGAATTTTCCAAAATATGGATAAAATTTATGAACAAACATGTATTTGCCAAAAAAATTCAAATATATTTTGGCAAAATCTATAGCCAAACGGGTCCTTAGTATACTTTATTTGTTTCTACTAGTGATTTATAGTTTAGCGAGTGACCATTTTTTGAATACTGTAATCCTCTCATCTAAAAAACTAAGCCGGGGCGGATGCACATTAATCGGATTGGACTCACTCAGATTTTTTGAACATTTTTGAAGTACTTTAGTTTAAAATTAGATTCTGCGAGGATTGAGCTCTATGATAAATAAATAAACAAATATAACATGTAATGATTTTAGTATAACTAAAAAAACGAATTTAGTTCTATAATTTTGAAAAGAAATTTCTCTTCTTTTGTTATAATGTACAACTTCTGAATACCGGATTTGCTGGTGGTACTCTTTTCAACTTTTTAGCTTTTATGTCGTTTTAGTGATTTGTTTTTTAAATGATGATACCGTTCGTTAAAAATTCTGCGTACGCCCTGTTAATCTAAGAAAGTATTATTTTATAAAATTAATTATATCTTCAACATATCACATTACGTGTGAACTTGATTATTTGATAAGACTTGAACTCTCACATTAATAGCCTGTTTGACCGTGTTTTTTTTAGTCAAATGCATTTTTGTTTTTCCAAAGTTAAGTGTTTCATTAAGTTTTTAGAAGGAAACAAGTGTTCTGAGAAGAAGTAGAAACATTTTTTTAGGAGCAGAATAAAGTAGCTTTTTACCAAAAGCACTTTTGAGAAAAATACACTTACAAGTTTGGTCAAATACTAATTATTGTTCAATAATATTTTTTAAATCGATTAGCCAAACACAAGTTGTTTCTTCCCTAAAGTGCTTTCATCACACTTTTGAATACTTTTCAGAATAAACTAATTTTAGAAGCACGACCAAACATGCTATAAATTAAAAAGTAAATTTTCTTGACGTGAATGAGCTTTGCTATCTCTCACCAACAGAAGGTAATAATAACCACTAGGGGTGTCAATGGTTCGGTTCGGACGGCTATTTTCTAAAATTTGTACCATATCTATTTTTCGGTTATTCTATTATGCATAACCAAAATTAGACTTTTCGAAACCGTCCCAATCATGTCGGTTTCTCTTCGGTATCGGTACGGTTCGGTTAATTTTCGGTATTTTTTAAAATGTCATGTAAATGTCACTAATAAAAGTAGAATACAATAACATATGTATTTTATAGGACTTAGCATACTCTCTAGATAGTTTTACTCTTTAAAAGGTGATAAATTAAGAAAATATTAAATATGGCTAGAGTATAGATCCATCAACTATTCTACAGTAGCGTAAAAGAAACTAAAAAAAGATATTAACCGAGTGAAAAGATATTAACCAAGCTGGAACTCAAGAATAAAGTCTATAGAAGATTAAATATTCAAAAAGATAAATATAAATCATATGAAAGGAAACATATTCAATACATTGTAGTTTGCTACTAATCGCTAGAATAGCTTGTGTCTTGCTAGTGAATATGTTGGAAAAAATTTAGTTTCAACATAGGAGTATCATTATAGGTTTGAGAATTAAGATTTTGAGTTTAATTACTTGTTTGCTTGTAACCGTTTTCACAATTCTAAGGCACAAGAAAAATTTTAATACATTATTATTCTTAAACTTAATATATAAATATATTTTTCACATGTAAATTTATTCGGTACAGTTCAGTATTTTTTTGATTTATTTTTATAAAATAAAAACCTATACTAATTATCGATAATGTTATAGATTTATATAAAATCTATGATTTTATTAAAAGAAACCTAGAAATCGATTCGGTACGGTATGGTTCAGTCGGTTTAGTCGATTTTTAAATATCTATTGACAACCCTAATAACCACCAAAAGATGTGGTGCAACGGATGTAGCTGCTCTTTCCTTAACTAGAGGTCTCGAGTTCGAGCCCTGAGTATGAAAAAATCTTTGGTAGGGAGTGTTTCCCCTGGAATGGGCCCTATGCGGCGCGAATTCGAATATAGTCGGGTTTCAATACAAGTACCGGACATTGGACGAAAAAAAAAAAAACAGAAGGTAATAACATATAAGTCCGAAATATTTATAAATCAACTAGTAAAATGATCAAAAACTTTATTCTATTTAAAACGATGACGTTCGTGACACCAAATGTAGACATAAAGTCAACGATTTGCAATTTGATTTCTAGCTTTATCATTATCTGTTTCATCTGCAATTATATATTTATTAATCAAGTTAGTCGTACCCTTTCTTACACGAATAAACGACGAGAAAATTATATTAAATGCATTATTATTGGACCATAAACGTTACTGTTCCATGGGAATTTTAAATAGAATACCATAAATTTCTAGCCAAATGGATTTATAACAAGGACCAATTATCTGTATTTGAAAAAGGAATATATTGGAAATGAGCATGTCTACGTTCTCAATTTTGGCACGAATAAACTTATGTAATCTTATCACAACTGTATTATAGATTATTATAAGAGATTATGACAAATAATTCAACCTACACAGGGCACATAAGCTGAGTCATTAAGCTTAAATAATATTTACCTAACACAAAGGCGAATCTACATGTAAGTTGTGGGTCATCGGAATTAGGTAACTTTTGACCATACCCAGTGTATATATAATGAAAATCACTAAATATTTTATAAATATGATAATGAAATCAATTATTATCGTATAATAATTTAAAAATTACAAAAACTCGATAAATTTAAAATCCTAGATCTGCCTCTAACTTAACATAACTCTCCCTCTCCAACTCCAATTTCCTGCACGAGTTTTTCTTCCACCAGTCAGTTAATTTCAAACATAAACAAAAAAGATCTTTTCCTTTTTACGGACACTAAATGAGTCAACGTCCTAAATTGATAGATCGTAGAGTAGCATTTGTTTCAAAAACAAGTGAAAAAGTTTTTCTCTAAATATTTTTTAATGGCGAAAAAAAATAAAATTTGATTTTTTTCAACCCAATGTTATTAGAGAATTTTTTTAGTTTATGCAATAACCGAAAACCTTAAAAAAATTTACTCCAGAAAAATCTTTCAACAGTTATCACACGCCACCAACTAACCATGTCACAATCTTGGGAACAAACATTGAGTAATGTAGTAATCAACTTGCACAGTCATTCACCCCCGCACCCCCCACGCCCCCCCCGCCCCCCCCACCCCCCCCCCAAAAAAAGACACGCAGTCAACTTTCACCACTTCAAACAAATAAAGAAAAAGATTTTAAAAAAAATTCTTTCCTTTTAAGTTTTTTCTTGTTTTTATTTTCACTTGGTGTTCATTATTTTTTTTGAACATGTCTTATTCGGATTTTGGATCGGAAAATTTCACTTGCTTTCTTTCAAAGATTATTTCATTTCACTCTTAAACCCGAAATCTTTAATTAAAAATTAAAAATGAAGAAATACTCAATTTGCTTGTTCTTTCGTAACATCAAAAGCTATTTCTTTATTGTTACATATATAAATTTAATTTTTACATTAAAACCCATCTTCCCTTTTCTCTTTCTCTCAATCTCATCTTCCCTACCCTCCATTGTTCAAAAACCCCGTCTTTTCTCCGCAATTTCTTTTAGAAAAAAAAGAAATACTACATACTTTTCTTGACGCCCAAATACCATCTTCATTTCCATATATGGAAGGTGGTGAACTGAGTGAAGGCACTCCAGAAGAATTAGGTGAAAACAGATTAAATTACTCTAGCTATGGCTTTATATTTTCTGTTGGAATTCTTATAATCCTCATAGTCATTACCTATGCTTCTTATTTGTACATTCGAATGCGATCTCGCAACAATTCTGCCATAACAACAACAACAATAACGACAGTTGAAAATGGAATGATTTTTATTCAACAAGGTCTTGATGAAAATACTATACGGACCTATCCAAAGTTATTATATGCACAAGTTAAGGCTCACAAAGTAGGGGATACTGTATCTTCTTCTGGCTGTTCTATTTGTTTGGCTGATTATAAAGATAAAGATATGCTTAGGCTATTGCCTAATTGTGGCCATCTTTTTCATCTCATTTGTATTGACCCTTGGCTTAGGCTTCATCCCACTTGTCCTATTTGTAGAAATTCTCCACTTCCTTCTCCTTTGGTTGAGGTAGTTCCTCTTTGATTGGTTATATGCAACGCGCAATGAATACTGCATACCAAATAGTTATACAAAAAAAGAAAGTGGTTCTCTTGCAACAAGGAAAATTGAGTCCATTAATTACTCCTCAGTCCTCATCAACAAATTCAAGAAGGTAGATGGTTTCTTTTCCTTTTCAGTTCTTTTTACTTTTATTTTTATTGCGTTTTTGAATTCACCTTCCACCAATACAATTATTGGGATAACTCTGTATACATCAAAACTTAAACTGATGAAAAGAAGTCAAGACATAAACATAGTGTAATTTTTCTTTTTGATTCTGTCATGTTTTCCTTGTCCGGTAAATACTGCAAAGTACTATACACTTTAGGTTACTCCAAACGTATAAATTAATATAGTAAGTCCTACAAAAGGGAACTTGCACAAAATTATGGGGGAAGTACACAAATAGCCATTTTTAGGGCTGTTATTTAGGGATTAGTCAGTACTTATATTGTCCTGAAATTTAAACTAAAAATCTTAACTTCAGATTTTTGTATCCTGAAAAATTAAACTAGAAAACTGAAATTCAAGATACACTAACTAATTTCTAAATAACAGCCCTCTAAAATGACTACTTGGTGTCATTTCGACCAAAAGTCTAATCTTACATTGATCTTCAGATTGTTTTCTCTGGTCCACAAGTATAGTATTTATTTCAAGCAGAGTTTTTTTCCCCTTGTTCTACATACACTGAAAATAGCCACACAATGACACAATGATGTGCATTGATTGCCATAGGCCAAAGAAAATAAACAGGCAAAGTTGTAATCGAAGAATTAATAAAGAATAAGGCAAATCGATCGTGCATATAGTCAATTGCATAGATGGCTTTGAGCTGACAAATAAATAAAAAAACAAGTGGTTAATAACTTCACACTGTACGAGTTCCAAGGCATGTAGTGGAGGGCATATTAGAGATCTGGAGATGCAAAGAAATAATTGTTCTGACAATTTTTTAGATTTTAAATTGTGACATGTAAATGATCATAATCTATACATAAAAATCAAAATTAATTAAAAATTATGATCTTTTATTCGAACCATCGTGTAAAAGTTTTTGATAATATTGCTACATATACATTTGTGTGTATTGACTTGAAGATAAAGAAATTGATTGTTCGTCTTCTTTTAGCATAGTTAGGAAGGTTCTAACTGGAAACAGTAATTTCTAGATCATTAAGTTTCGAACTCAGTTATACAACAATATTCAGATTGTTACATTTTAGCAAGTAGAATATCTCCTTGGAGAGGCGCGGTTGGGGATATTGACATAATGATTATTAACAAAATTTTAATTTTTGAGAAGAGAGAGTTGCTCAGGTGATAAATATTGTTCGTTCTAGTAAGATTCGGGGTTCGAGAGAGCAAAATGAAAACTCCTCAGGAGGGATAAAAAAAAGAAAGAAAGGAATACTGGGCACAACAAATGAAGCAATTGGTTGATGAAAAACTACAGATGAAGTTAAGGATAAAGAAGAATCCAAAGAAAGAAGAAAAGCTGTATAATAACAAGAAATTACCAGGGATTAGGTGATTTAGTCAATCAAGCAAAATTTATTTAAATCTTCATGTATAGATATTCCAGTTGCTATATGGTACGTGCGCATCTAATCATTATCGGATAATAATTTTTAAATTTGCGTAGAAACATAAAATTAATAGATAGCCAGTTAGACTACCACTTGGTTGGTGTCAGGGCAGCTGCAATTTAATTTACAGGTGGATTCTTAAATGGTTTCGTTCTAATTACTAGAGTTGGTAAACCCTATATTATTTGGATNTATATATAGTTTAAATTGAAAAAAGAGAAAATTGATCATTTCAAAAGTTGCAATAGTAAATCACAACATGAGCTATGATCACGACATCTACAACAACGCCTTCACTTCCAAATAATTTAAGTTGGAGTCGGCTTACGATTGGAGCATCTAAACTTTCAAATATCCTATCAATCTCATCCATAATATGCGATAATTCGGCAGATTTTTTTCTATAATCAGACATGCTCACACAACTCATAATATATCATAATACAATAGAGTACACCTAAGAAACCAATCATCATACTATAGTTTAGGGGTACATAGGTCGGGTTAGTTCGGATTTTTCAATTATCACATCAAACCAATGGTGTCGGGTTTTTAAATTTATAAACCAAACCAAACCAACAAAGTCGGGTTTTTCAATCTCGTTTTTTCTCAGGTTTTTCGGATTTTTTTCCGGTAAAGTCTTCATAGCATAAAATATATAACTTGTGCTCCAAATATTTCTTAAGTCCTAGTAAAATACAATTATATAATGTATTTTTCAAGAAACTAACACAATAATATGAGATAAGTCATAGCATTATACTAAAATATTCAATAACAAAGATAAAATAATAAAATTATATAAAATAAATATTGCTAATTAATAAGCGATAATGAAAATTAACATAATCTAAAAATACTATATAGGTCATGCTAAAATAAGTATAGCTAATAAGTACTAATATTAATTACATAACTAAACACTAAAGAAAAAGATAAACTAAATTATGCATTTTTATTATAAACCAATATAAAACTAAAATGATTATCCAACACTATCTTCATTCCTAGTATTGAATTGAATTTCTTTTGTTAGCATTAGTATTAATTTGAACTTTGTTTGAGTTACTACATTTATGGGATTTAAAATTTATTTATCATTCAAGAATGTTAAGTCTAAACTTGAAATAATACGTTAAAAGATAAAACTGTGAAAAAGTTTAAAAAATATTTATAAATTACATTACAATATATATTTGCATGTATAAATATTTTTAAAACTTATATAAATGTACTATCGGGTTGGTTTGTTTTCGGTTTGACTTTTTTTAATTAAAACCAAACCAAACCAATTATGGTCGGGTTTTATTTTTCAATACCAAACCAGACCACATCGGGTTTTTTTTCCAGTTTGACTCAGATTATCGGTTTGATACGATTTATCGGTTTTCCTTGTACACCCCTACTATAGTTGCATTTAGATTGAGACATGACTATAAATCAATGACTATGTAAAGTGCCACTATATACTTAACTTGATGTCTTAAAATCAAAGTAAAAACACTAAGATAACACCAAATTCAAACCATCCAAAGATATAACTCCATTGTAGGTTACAAGATCAATCTTAACAGCAAATAAAGCTAATGAGAGAGAGACCAGGAAAACAATATTTGGTTCTAGCAGAAAGAGGTGAATTCAGGATTTAAATTTTACGGGTTCGAAATTTTAGAATAGGAATCTCAAGGGGTTAATTTCAGTGAAGGTTATCCAACTTATCATTTATTTCACAAAAGTCATTTATCTATTTTTCGTCACTTAAAAGTCACTTAACTTTACGTTTGTAACTTAAAAGTCATTCTAGTTCAAAACCTATAAAATATCCAATAAAAAATATGACATGGCATTACATTTAATTAAAAAAATATAAAAATAATGCCACATAAGCTTAAATAGATCATATCTAAGCTAGACCCATTTCTTCCTCAGCCCGATTTCTGTCGATTTTTTTGAATATTAGTTTTAACTTATTTTATATGAAAAACCGACCGATTTCAATCGGTTTCTTAAAAAATAAATTTTGCAGGATTCTAAAATAGTTTCCCGCATTTTCGCCAAAAAAAAACCCGACCGAAGTCTGTCGGTTTCGTAAAAAAAAATTATAAATTAAAATATTTTGGAAAACCGACCGACCTCAATCTCACATAACATATAAATGTACCACTTACAGACAAGAACAACAAGCTAATAAGAACCTATTTTCACAAAAATGCGGGAAATTATTTTAGAATCCCGCGAAATTTACTTTTTAAGAAACCGACCGAAATCGGTCGTTTTTTCATATAAAGTAAATTAAAACTAATATTCAAAAAATCGACCGAAATCGAGATGAGAAAGAAATGGGTCTAACTTAGATATGGTCTATTTAAGCTTAGGTGGCATTATTGTTAGATTTTTTAATTAAATATAATGCCATGTCATATTTTTTATTGGATATTTTATAAGTTTTGAACTAGAATGACTTTTAAGTTACAAATGTAAAGTTGAGTGATTTTTAAGTGATGAAAAATAGATAAGTGACTTTTGTGAAATAAATGATAAGTTGGATGACCATGGGTGAAATTAACGCGAATCTCAAGTACTAACAATTAGGTTTGGAATTTGATATATTTATTCATATTTTATGAATTTCTTAACACATACATAGATCTTACTTTAATTAGCTACTGAGTTTGCTGAATCCATACATTACACTCTATATCCGTCCCTGCCAACAAAAGGTGGCAGGCTAACCCGGGGGAGGCGAAGGCGAATTAGGCGATGGTGCGGAGTTGGATGAGTAGTTTTGAAGGACAGTGACACTCAATTTCTGGCCTAAAGCACAGTAGTTTAAGATGCTACACATATAGTAAAAAACCCCTGGCTCCATCAAAGTAATGTTGGCTGGACCATCTGTGTAAACCTTGTAAGGGTGATTAGCAGTGCAAAGTCCGTATTCTCTTCTTGATACTTGTATCACATTGTAAAGTTCTGGATCAAAGTCAAAATCTGCATGCCCCAAATAATAGAAACATAAGATAAACAAATTCAGTACTACTCCATATTTAACAACAGCGAACAACAACAAATCTAGTGTAATCTCACAGGTGGGATCTGGGAAGGATATTGTATACGCAGACCTTACCCCTACCTTGTGAGGGTAGAAATGTTGTTCTTGATAGATCCTCGGCTCAAAAAAAAATAAAAAAGGAAGCAGCAACAACAAGTAGTGACAACAGCAAGACAAGATTATAAGGAAAACGAAGCGGAAAAAACAACGGGTAGCTAGTAGTAAAGATCTAAGTATAAGAAAATATGAGAATAATTCTAATACTACAAATCCAGTAATATTTGTCTATGAATTAATTATATCTTCACAAAATAAAAAAAGCATTCTGTAAACTAAATGTAAAAAAGTTGAGAATTACAAAGAGTATCTCCAGGGAAGAAAACTTGGGAAGAAGACCAGTTGGTGTAGAAGTTATTCATAGGAGGGATAGTCCAAATAGAGTCCCCTACTATATATTGCATAGCATATGATTGATGCAATAATAGTGCAAATGTTATCAAATAATGGTAATTTCGCATTTCCATTGATATTTTTCTTGGGGAAAAAGAGAAGAAAGATGAGAAGATGATGGTAAATATTGATGATGTAGCGGTTGCGAGGTTATGTAGTGGGGATTAAGAAAATGAGAAGTTTGAGTGAACGTAACTGTTTGTGCTACACTTGAAAAGTCAATACATAGTCCCAAAATACATAAACATACATCTTAAAGAAGTCCCTTCAATTTGAATGTATTAAAAATAGAGAAAAAAGCCGAATATAAAAAGACAGACATAAGCTTATTTCCTGAATTTTTATCCAAACAAACAACTAAGTAGACGTTTGGACATAAAAATTATAATTTAAAAAAAAATAGTATTTGGAGTTAAGTTGAAAATTAATATTTGGTCATGCATTTCACTTGAAAAATTATTGCAGTTTTGTGAATACGAAAAAAGAGTTTGATTTTTGAAAAACTCATTTTCGAAATTTTTTCAAAAACTTATAAAATTTCACGGACAAACATATTTTTGATAAAAAAAATTCTGGAAAAAAAAATCTATGGACAAATGGTCCTAAGTAGAATAGAAAGCTAACTTGTAACATGAGTTTAATGTTGGCAAAGAGTAAAGCAATTTAAAAATAAAAGATGAGGGTCATGTAGTGGAGGAGATAAGAATTTCATCTAGGGAATTCAAAAAATACTCTTGTGTGTATAGGACATTCAATAATTTATATATATATATATATAGACAAATAAAAGAATTGCCACCTACGTATATAATATAATATTATGACGCAGAGAATTTAGTTGAATTCCTTTGGTAAACACGGTTGTGTCACTGACCAATGCATTCATGTTGGAACCAATTACGTTTTCATTTCCAAAGACAATGAATTAAGATGTTAAAAGTCCTTCCTAAAAGGTTTATTTGCATTTATGCTTTTATGAGTAATTTATAAATTCAAAAGTTGGTAGCTTCCATTTTTGACAGGTTGATAGCTTCATATCTCTTTTCTGTTTTATATTGTAATAGTGAGCGAAAAATGATGGTCACTCCCTATCAGGGGTCATTACTTTAATAAAAGAGGCTAAAATTAAAAGGCTGCAAAGTCCCCTCAAGTAGTATTATGACCGTTATCACAGCCTCCAACAAAGTCAAATGATCTTGCCATATACTTGCCAGCTAGGGAAGTCACTCCAAGTTTCCAAAATTGTTTTTTTTTTCTTTTCTCAAAAGTATTTTTTTTTTCCTTAACTTGAGATGTTTAGCCAAGTTTTTTTGGGAGAAAAAAGTACTTTTGGGAAGAAACAGAAGTAGTTTCTGAAAAGTAGAAAAAAATAGCTTCTTTCCAAAAGCAGAAACAGAAGCAGTTTTGATTTTTCTTCTTACCAAAAATACCCTTAACAAAATATAGTATATACCAAAATAATTGTTAAACCTAATATTTAGGATATTAATGTATAAATATTTCTTATTATTTTTAGGATAGCTTTCTAATATATAGTGACTTAATTTAGGGGTGGATGCTTTTATATTTGTTGAATGAATTTTAATATATTTAACTTATATTAAAAGAATTAAGTACTTTTAAATTTTATTTTCATATTTTACTTAAATAAAATAAAGAGATTTAATTATTGCCTCTAATAACAAATTTTTAAGATTATTTATTTACTTACAATATTAACTATTAAGTAAATCTATTCATGTCCTTATTCGTAATTTGATACTTAAAAGCACTTTCTGAAAAGCTTAGTCAAACACAAATTATTGCTCAAAAGTGCTTTTCAAAGAGATTAGCCAAACACAAGCTAATTCTCTCCAAAAGTACTTTTTTCAAAAGCACTTATCAAAATAAGTTGATTTTTCTAGCTTGGCCAAACAAGCTATAATTTAGATTTACGTCACGACGTCAGTATAAGGAAAACCGTTTTTTTTTTTTTTCGGAATTGTCCATCACATCCCTCATCGATAGAGAAGACATAATGGCGGATCTGTATGCAGGGGCAGCTCAATGATATTTATGGCCTAAAGCCAAACTTCACTAAGGGCCCCTAAGATTTTTGTTGTAGAAGAAAACTCATAATGTTATTTGAATTTTTTTTCTAGCTTTTTGAAATGCGAAGTTATTAATAATTTGTTTATAATCGATTTCTTCTAATAATTCTTTTCAATTGATAAAGAATATGTTTACTAATCAATATCAATAGATCTCTCAACTTTGTGTCTATACTAGTCCATTGACTAGGATCATATATGTTCCTAAGAGTATAATTATCCAACTTATTTAGAACTTCTCATTTTTCTTGAGGATATATGTTAGGTTTCTCGCCAGCTTCTCCTCCTTCCTCTTCTTCTTGAATTTTATTATTGTCTATCTCAATTATATTAGTGATTTGTTCATCTATCATAAAATCTTCCACATTTTTTTATTTAGAATTTTTACTATTCGCTACAAATTTATTAAGTACTCCTTTTGGGATTGTATTAGAGTTTCAATCCTTTTCCTTTTTTGACGTTTCGAACATCCAGATTCATATTTTCTAGTTGACATATTAAAACTCTAATAAATAACAAAAAAGATAATATATACTTACAAAGAAAATATATCCAAAAAAATTAAAAAGTAGATACAAATAATAAAATATAGAACAATCATAAGCTTTTGCTACTTCAAAATTCTTGATGTAACGCCAAAATATTTGAGAACAAATAAAACATATGGTACTTGTGTTCTGCTCTTTTATTTTGTGATAATAACTCAATGGGATTGGAATATAGAGAAGGCCAAAGGAACAATAGAAGAGTAAAATTTACTCCCTCTGTTTCAATTTAGATGACACACTTTTCGTATTAGTCCGTTCCAAAAAGAATGACACATTTCTATAATTGGAAATAATTCAACTTTAAACTCTTCATTTTACCCATTATACCCTTAATGAGAATCTTTTATAACCACACAAATGTCATGGCCCCACAAAGCTTTTTTTTGGTCTTGACTCGTCAAACTACCTCATCTAAATTGAAACAGAGGGCCTTTTGCAGAGAAAGATAAAAAGAGATAAAAAGAATGTGGGCCCATTTATAATAATGATGGTACATAAATGGTAAAAATTGCATGGGGCGCCCTATTTGGTCGCCCCTTTTTAACTTATACCCGTTTTGTTTTTCCGTTTGCATCCGTACCCATTTGTTTTTGTTAAAAGCGTTTTAAAAAGATGATTTTGCCCTTTTATAATAAAAGACTATTGATAAACCGCATGACAAAAATTTAAGCATATTTAGGCTGAAGTTTTAGCAAATAAATTAAAAAATTTCAGCTTGTTTAGCCTGAAGTTTCGGATAAAACTTAGGACAAAATTGTAGATTGCGTTACAAAATTTCAGCATATTTTGATATGAAGTTTTAGCAAATGAACTAAATAACTTCAGCATGCATTAGCAAAAACTCTTTAGAAAATTACATATTGCAAGACAAAAATTTAAGCATGTTTAGTCTTAAGTTTTAGCAAATGAACTAAATAATTTCAGCATGTTTTGTCTTAAATTTAGCAAATGAACTAAATAACTTCAGCATGTTTTGTCTGAAGTTTTAACAAATGAACTAAATAACTTTAGCATGCATTAGCAAAAACTCATTAGAAAATTACATACTACAAGTAAAAAACTTAAGCATGTTTAGTCTGAAATTTTAGCAAATGAACTAAAAAACTTAAGCATGTTTAGTAGAAAGTTTTAGCAAATGAGCTAAATAACTTAAGCATATTTAGTCTGAAGTTTTAGCAAATGAACTAAATAACTTAAGCATGTTTAGTCTGAAATTTTAGCAAATGAACTAAATAATTTAAGCATGTTTAGTCTGAAATTTTTGCAAACGAACTAAATAACTTCAGCATGTTTAGACTGAAGTTTCGGATAAAATTCATGAGAAAACTATAGACAGTAGGATAAATAACTTCAGCATGCATTAGCATGAAGTTTTAGCTTCAATGTGAAACAATTTCATGCTATATTAACATGAAGTTTTAGTTTCAACATGAAACAACTTCATGCTCCAATTCTTCTCGAGCGACCCCATTTCCTTGAAACTTGTATTTTTTTTTCTTTTCAAATACTTAATATTGTTAAAAAAAAATGAACAAATACATTAACTGTTAGAAATTTTTTGGGCCCCACGGCTTTACTTGTTTGGCCATTAGGCCGGCCCTGTCTGTATGGAGACTTCCGAGTGCTTAAGCACTCATTGCTTTTGACCAGATTTAGTAGAATTACATAGGTAATTAACAAAATAATTTAGATTAATATTGAGTGAGAACCCACAATTAAAATTATTCCCTCTTCTTTTCAAAAATTTATCCACTCATGACTTTTAAATATTGGATTCACCATTGAGAAGATACTATTGCTAATATGGGAAGACGTAATTCTATTTGTTTCCTACCTAATTAAATACTTCGAAATAGCCTATTCTTTACATACTTACACCAATTTATAAGTGTTGTCTTCACTAATTGAGGTGAGTAAGTTTAAATTTTCGTTTTTCTTTCTTGATAACGAATTCTTATTACTTGTATGAACTTTGAACCTTTTTATTCTAGTATACAAATTGTCCCTTTTAAATTGCTTACGAATAATATGAGATGTCACTGTTTAATAGAGTATAAAGTAAGTGAATAAAGACAGAGCACAACACAAAATAACACATGTAATATAGTGGACATTATTTAGCATAGGACTAGGTGTCAAGGGTGCATAATTTGCTACCGTGCACCCTAAATCAGGATAATAATTCCTCCCCTCAATTAATTTTCAAATTTAAAAAGTACCACTCAACAGTTTCTAGCCGTTAAGACCAAAAGCATCATCTTTCTCCTATCCCTCTCACTCCCCCCCCTGGGGCTATCAGCAAGACAAGATTTTCACTTACCAAAATCAAGATTTTTGCTTCCCAATTTCACTCATTCTTATCCCCAAAATCTTTCTCCAAAGCCCATTTTCAGATTTCAAGAAATGAGGGCTATGAAGGGAAAGCTACTCAAGAAATTGAAGACAATAAAAACAATTGGGTATTTGAAGCCAGAAAGAATCCTCCATTCAAATGCATCAGATGGGTATATTCAGTACACTTCACCACCTCATTCAAATTCTCAATCTCACTTTCACTCTCCACTAACCCCAATTCAGGTCAATGAAAATCCCAAAAAGAATATTCAAAACAATGTACATGAACAAGACCCTGAGATTATTGATGTTTGTGAGCTAATGAAAGATCTTGATGATCAAGAAATGGAGCTCGACGACGAAATGGACGATAAAGAGAACATTAGACCTGATTTAAAGGTGAAAAAGTCTGAACCTTTGAAAGAAAATGTGGAGAATTTCAGCTCATTGAAGTCAAAGGTTGAGACTTTTGATGAGAAAGTTGCTCCTTTTTCAGAACTTGATGTGTTGAATTTTAGGCGGCCGGATTTGGATTCAGGTACTCTTTTTGATCCAAAACTTCTAGCTGCATTTGAGGAAGCAGTAATGGTAGTAAAAGCTCAAGAAGCAGAAAGAAAAGCCAAGATTGAGGAAAAGATTTTCAAACCTTTAGAAGAAAAAGAATTAGAAGACGACGAAGAAGAAAATGAACCGCCTTTAAAAACACGGAAAATTGAGGAAATTATAGACCCCTTATTGGAATTTGAAGAGAAATGCCCCCCTGGAGGATGTGATTCAGTAATTCTTTACACAACAGGCCTTAGAGGGATACGAAAAACGTTCGAGGAATGTCATAGTATTCGATTTTTGTTAGAGAATTTTCGTGTTATATTTTTCGAGAGAGATATTTCTATGCATTCGGAGTTTAAGGAAGAATTATGGAGAATTTTGGATGGGAAAGTTGTGCCGCCGAGGCTGTTTATTAAGGGAAGATATATTGGTGGAGCTGAAGAAGTATTGACATTACATGAACAAGGGAAGTTTAGGCCATTACTTGAAGGAATTCCAATTGATCAATTTCAATGTCCATGTGAAGGTTGTGTTGGAATGAGGTTTATTGTGTGTTTTAAGTGTAATGGGAGTCAGAAAATTGTGGTTGAAGATGGGGTTGAGGCAATGAAATGCCCTGAATGTAATGAGAATGGATTGATTGTGTGCCCTTATTGTTGTTGAATAGTAATTCAATTGATTGTTTGTTCCTTTTTGTATTCCTCATATTTTGAGGGTGTAACATTCTTTTGTCTTTGTGTTTTGAGTTGAAATGTTATTTTCCATTACATATTTTGGTAGAAAGATTACTACCATCTCCAAATGGGAAAGATAATATTTGGTTTCTTGCCTTGTGTTCTCTTTTTGAGATTTGGGGGCATTAGTGGTAATTGCTAAGGTGCTTTCTGAAGTATTAACCATTGGCTAGTGCTCAGCTCCAACTCTGTTTCCAACCTTTTATTTCGTATATTATTCCTAATACCTCTTATATAATCTTGCTATACGTCTAAACCTTTTCCCATTGATAGTTGGACTGTTCAAGGAGGTTCTTGTAATTTTCATAATCGAAAGAATCTTTTTCTCACGACTGGGTTGATGTTAGATTGTGGCAACAATTCTCAATATTTGAGCTGTGGAAACTAAGTTTGTGGCCATTTTATTTGGGGGAACCGAAATATTTTGCCTAAACAGATCAGTAAAAGGGAAGTGAAATTGGCCAGTAGATGCCTTTAGAATCAAGTGGGGGTTGCCCTTTAGAAATAAAAATTGCAAAAAAGTCACACTTAAAATTCAAAGCTATGGCATAAAGAAGTATTTGAGTCATTTATGCCACTATACTAAAAGCTTTTCTTATGTCCAGATGATTAAAAAATGTAGAAAGACAATTTATTTAGACAGGTAAAGACAAATATCTATCTGTGCTTGTTTGTTTTTTATTGGCACTGTTAGAGAAGGACCACGTGCTTAACTTTATATATACATAGCACCAGAAAGAAAAAGACTGAACGTTAATGATGTCCCATGATTCTTGTTTTTGCATCGAACGTAGCTTTTCTATCTCTTGTTTTATCTTTCAAACATACCTTTTACAACAAAAGTTTGAATATTCTAGTAAAAATAAAAGAAAAAGGAACTCATTTCGTGATTAATGTTATAACAAAATACACTGAATGTGTGATCTTTAATCACGCCTTTGGTTGTTTTTTTTCAAATTATACTGAAGGTGCAATCTTAAGTAGTGCTTTCAATATATCAAAAAGTTGCATTTTGCTGTTTCGAGCTTGAACTTTCTCCTGTTTCGTTTTTATTTTATTTGGTCTTTGCTTTATTTATTATTTTTCTTTTTAGTTTTTCTTGCTCTTTTTTTGTTTGGACACGCTCTCTTCTTATTCTCAATTTTGTTTCAATAGCCTGGTGCCAACAATAACAAACAAAAAAATTAAACCCAAAACAAAAAAAAGGGAAAAGATCTAAAGGAGTCCATGCCGTATTCAATTTGTCTTATAAATATCTTTCGTTAATTTATTGGCTCATAAAATTTCTCATTGTTATTTTTTGTCCTAATTTTACCCCTAACTCTAACGGCCTTCTATATTGGTTTGAGGAGGCTTTTAGTTTAAAAATAAAGGTACAAATTTATAACAATAACAACCTAGTGAAATTTCACAAGTGGGGTCTGGGAGGGTAGGATGTATGCAGCCTTACCCCTACCTTGGGAGGACAAAGAGACTGTTTCCGATAGACCCTCGGCTAAAGAAGATGGAAGAAGCGCTGATAGTAATTCATAGCAAGACCATATATTAGGAGACTAAATTGAAGAGAGCAATAAATAATATGAAAGAAGTACCTATAGCAAGAAATAGCAAGACAATCTATTCCGGCCCTTCCTCGGACACCGCGCATAGCGAGAGTTTAGTGCACCGGGTTGCCCATACCTATAGCAAGTAATAGCAAGGCAATCTATTTAGAAAAACTAAATCCGAAGTCTAATAGCAATAGAGAATATGAAAGGAGCACTGATAGTAAACTAAGGAAGTACTGGTGACAAGTAATAACAGAACAAGATATGCAAAAAGAGCAAACTCAAGGTAAAAGACTACCATACTAACACTAACACTAACTCTAACGAACTACTGAAGACAAAGGGAAACAGATGATTACCTACTAACCTTCTACCTTAATCCTCAACCTCCACACCCTCCTATCCAGGGGCATGTCCTCGGTTAGCTCAAGCTGCGCCATGTCTCGCCTGATCACCTCTCCCCAAGACTTCTTTGACCTATCTCTACCCTTTCTCTTACCCCCAAGGCCAACCTCTCACACCTCATGACTGGGGCATTTGTGCTTCTCCTCTTAACATGCCCGAGCCATCTCAACCTCGCGTCTCGCATCTTTTCCTCCATGTGGGCCACTCCCACCTTGTCCCGAAAAACTTCATTCCTAATTCTATCTAATCTAGTATGCCAACACATCCATCTCAACATCCTCATTTCAGCTACTTTCATCTGTTGGACATGGAAGTTCTTGACTGGCCAGCACTCTGCCCCATACAACATAGTCGGTCTAACCACTACCTTGTATAACTTACCCTTAAGTCTCAACGGCACATTCTTATCGCACAAGACACCGGAAGCGAGCCTCCACTTCATCCACCCTACCTTGATACAATGTGTGGCATCCTCATCAATCTCCCCATCATTTTGAATTATAGACCCCAGATACTTGAAACTCTCTCTCTTGGGGGTGACTTGCGTATCAAGCCTCACATCCCCGTCCGCTTCATGGGTAATACCGTTGAACTTACACTCTAAGTATTTTGTCTTGGTCCTGCTCAACTTGAAACCCTTAGACTCTAGGGTATGTCTGGAGCCTCTCATTAACACCACTGCGCGTCTCATCAATCAGAAGTATGTTATCTGCAAATAATATGCATCAATACAATTCCCCTTGAAAGGTACAAATTTACCCTTTAAATATACGAAATAAGCTAATTTTACATCGGTCAAGAGCTTAAATACCCTCTTATTTACTAACTGTTGAAGAATTGAGGCTAATTGATCTCTAGTCTTAATGTTTAGCACTAAGAATTAGCATGTGACTCATAATCCCACAAAATTTTAATTTTTCTTTTTATATTCCCCTTCTCTTGTCCTGTTGTCCAATCCTCAAAAACCAAACTAAGAGCCCGCTTGGATTAGCTGATTTGAAGTAGCTGATAAGCATTAGGTGCTGAAATGCATTTTTAAGTGCTGAAACTGATTTAATAAATAAGTAGTTACATGTTTGGATACAAATGCTGAAATTGATAATAAGTTGCTGCAGTATTTGATAAAAAAAAATGCTGATAAGCTCTTTTTCTGTTAAAATGACTTAAATAACCTTAGAATTATTTACACTTATAAGGGCGTAATTTATTCAAAATTTTAGATTCTAGATTGATTCAAATACAAAATATTCTATTTGTCATTTTATTTTAAATACAACTGTGCTTTAATAAGTTAGTTTTTATTAAAAATATAATTTATTTTATGATAAACATATAATCATAAGTTATAATAATTAATAAATTGATAAAAGTTTCTCAGAAAAATAAACCTAAATAGGATAAAATATTTGAAGAGAAACAAACATTGTCTTCATCACCACAACACTGAGAAAGCAATACACCAAAAAATTGATATGTCCTCATTTATTATATACAGTTCAAAGATTAATACACAATTACATTGATACAAATATGCAAAGGAATAAAGGATTTGCATATCTTAAATAGTCAATGAGAATTGCAGACTTGAAGAGGCGGGGGTTTAGGTTGAAAAAATACTTGAGTTAGAGATTATCCATGTAGGAGTTTTGTTCTAAAAAAGAATATTTTAAGGATAAAATAGTAAAAATTTTGGTCAAATTTAAATTGCTTATAAGTTAAAAATTCATAAGTTGGGGTGACCAGCTTATCACTTTTGGCTTATTTTTGACTTATAAGCATTTGACTTATAATTAATTTTAATTTTATCAAATACGTAAATAAGTCGAAAAATACTTATAAGTTAGTTTGACCCGTTTATAAGGTTAGACAAACATTCTCTAATTGACAAAAAAGATTAAAAAAGAGTGACCTAAAAGAGTGGCATAAAAGGCATTCTACAAAAGCAAGTACTACCAACGCTAGTATTACAGACTGAACCTCTCAGTCACTCCCTATGGGTTATCGGCTTCATCATTATAATCACATTCTCCCCATTTATTATCACCCTTTTCCTCGGCTCTTCTCTTTTCGCTTCAATTTCAGGTAAATTCTTTTACATTCACATATATACACCTTATGTTTATCACTACAATGACATACGAAATGCATGTAACCAATTTTTTCTTAAAATTGATGACTCATTTTATTTAAACAGGGTGTGGTGTTGCAGCCAGAGTGGTAAAAATCAGGCACAAATGGAGCAAGTAGTTGTTAATGGTTCAGAGTCACATTTAGTTGTTGTGGATAATCCTAATTTGTTGCAAAAGAAAATGTCTGCAATTCGCCTTGCCGGTCCTGCAAAGCTCCAGGTTTTGTTCCGAATTTTTATTTTTGTTGGGTGACGAATTTTAATTGAGAACAATGCATTTATTCAGCTTCAGTCCCCAAATGTCTTTCGTTACATATGTTTGTTCACATTACTTTTAGTTTGTAAAAAAAAAAAACTATTTAGAAATAATTTAAATTTGAATTTTCTATTTTACCTTTAGCGAGACGATGTATAACCACACAAATATTTATGACATGTTTTATACCACAAGTTTTAAAAGCCTTTCTTACTCAGTCAAACTGCATGACATAAAATGGGACAAGAGGAGTATCATTTTTTGGGGGATAATTGCACTTTTGGGTCCTTTAGTTATTGGTAAATTCTGATTTTGGTCCTTGTGATATTTTACTGATCATATTTAACCTTGAATTGGTTAAGGTGTGTGTTTTCGCTCCTTTTACGTAGTAAATATGTTATATTTAGATTCTTTTGAGACCGATATTACCTTTAAAATAGAGTAACAATACAAATTTAACATAATGCATAGTTAATTAAATAGTTTAACAGTTAATGATTTTCGGAATCTGTGAAGATTCACTACCAGAAGGATCAATATTGCACATTTCGATTAATTGAAGGTTAAATGTGTCTAACCAGATCAATATTGCACATTTCGATCGTTCAGGGACTAAAAGTACAAATACAATGACGTCTGAATTTAAGACATTGTTTGTTAATCCGATCAATGCACTTTTTCATAACTTGTATGATAAAATGTTTTCCCTTGAAGAAAGTTGTTATCTATGGAGCATTGCTGCTAATCTTGGGTATATATGTAGAACTTCCTCAATAACTTATTATTTTCTTGGTTAAAGCTTCATTCTTTATCTTGTGCGCGAGGATGAAGTAGCCTAACATTTCCTGCTTCTTGGCTGCGATGTTAAATTTGTGATTGGGTAAACTTGTAAGTGGTTAGTTGAAAGTTGAAACTGTACTGACATTTACCAATCTCTAGGCCCTTATATAAACTACAAGGAAAGTGCGCATCTGAAATATTGGTTGCTTGCAAGCAGGATATACTTTTAGAAGTGAAATCTAATAGGCTGCAACAACAACAACAAAAAACCTAGTGTAATCCCACGGGTGGAGTCTGGGGAGGGTAATGTGTACGCAGACGTTACCTTGTAAAGGTAGACAGCCTGTTTCGGATAGACCCTCGGTTCAAGGAATAATGAAAATAGAGTAACAAACAATAGTAACAACAATGCAATAGGAGCAAATGGATCAACATGTAATAATAAAGAATCATGAATAAGAGAAATACAAAAATAGTACTAGTATCACTGGTAAGACTAAGAGACACTAGCGACTACCTGTCACCCTTCCACCCTAATTCTCGATCTTCACCCTTTCCTATCGAGGGTCATGTCCTCGGTAAGCTAAAGCAATAACATGCCCTTCCTAATCACCTCACCCTAGTACTTCTCAAGCGTACCCTTACCCTTCCTAAGACCCGCCATGGTCAACCTCTCACACATCCTGACGGGGACATCTACGTCTCTCCTCTGCACGTGCCCGAACCATCTCAGCCTCGATTCCCGCAATTTGTCCTCCACCGAGGCAACGCCCACCCTTTCCCTAATAACTTCGTTCCTAATTTATCTTTCCTGGTAAGTACACACATCCATCTCAACATTCTCATTTCAACTACCTTCATCTTCTGGACATGGGTTTCTTGACGGGCCAACACTCCGCTCCATACAACATAGTCGGTCTAACCGCCACTCTGTAGAACTTGCCCTTAAGTCTTGGTGGCACATTCTTATCACACAGAATCCCAGAAGCGAACCTCTATTTCATCCACCCCGCAGCAATCCGATGAGTAACATTCGTCAATCTCCTCGTTGCCTTGGGTTTGATCGCAGACCCAAGATATTTGAAACTATCCTTTCTGGGGATGACTTGTGTATCAATTTTCACTTCCACTTTTGCTTCAGGCATCCCATCACTGAACTTGCACTCCAAGTACTCTATTTTCGACCTGCTCAACTTGAAACCTTTAGACTCCAACGTCTGTCTCCAAACCTTCAACCTAGCATTAACCCCGCCTCGTGTCTCGTCAATCAATACTATGTCATCAGCAAATAGCATACACCATGGCACCTCTCCTTGTGTGCGTCGCGTCAACACATCCAACGCCAGGGCAAACAAAAACAGGCTAAGAGCCAATCCCTGATGTAACCCCATCTCCACTCGGAAATGTTCCGAGTCACCACCCGCAGTCCTCGTCCGAGTCTTAGCTCTCTCGTATATATCCTTAATCACCCTAATGTACGCTACCGGAACACCGATAAGGCGCTAACCTCCAAACATCTCCACATAACCTCCCTCGGAACTTTGTCATAGGCTTTCTCTAGGTCTGAAATCTAATAGGCTGGATTTTATAAATCATGGCATGCTTCCTGAAAAGTTCTGTTATTGAGGATCAACTATAACCACCTTTCCCAAAGTTTCTATCTGATTTTTAACTTCTTTTAAGTGGTCAAAATTATTTAAAATTTGGTTAATTAAGGGCTACATGTGACGAGCTTATTGCCTCTGGTACTTCCTGGACGTGCTTGCTTAATTGCATTTGGAAAACAAAGTTAGATCTGATATCAAAGTAAACACTTTTATGGTCTTGAGTTTGAACTGATACTGTTTGTCGACTTGATCTTGGTACTGGTCCGTCTAGATCAAAGTAGGAGCAGATAATTATATAGGTAATTTTAATAGAATGGAGATGAGAAACACGAGGATGCGTTAGGGTGCAGGACATACAATTATTAGTCCTGGTTATTCCAGCCTAGTTCTATATCAATCTTTTCTTGTGCGCTGTTTAAAAACAAAATTATGGATGTTGAATCTTATATAGAATCTACTTTTCAGCTCCATATGGTTTGGTAGGACGCTACAACGGTTGGCTCCATGTTTTGTATGACCTAAGTCCAGAACCATGAGCATTTGTTAATGGAAATTACTTCTCTTAGATACAGACATACAGTCTCAAACATGTGTGTGCACACATACCCATGCACATTTCACCTTGTTCTAATTGCTTTTTCCGTTTACGTACTAAACTATTTCAACATCCTAGGTAATTGCAGATTTCGATGCCACATTGACAAAATACTGGATCGATGGTTGTCGAGGCCAAAGTATGTTATCCACTTCATACAACATTGTCCTATTATGATAGATTGACTGGAACAGACTGCATATTCAATAGCATACAATTCGATATATGTTCCTTAGCTCAGGAAAACAAATTTTGTAGGCAGTCATAACCTTTTACAGCAGGAGGATCCTGAGTACAATGTCAAGAGGCAGAAGTTATATGATTACTATCATCCCTTAGAATTTGATCCAGCTATTCCCCTTGATAAGAAAGCAAAGCTCATGGTAGAGTGGTATGTGTTATGAATTTGTACAGCTATAATCGGGTTGGACTCATATGATATATTGCATTTTCTTGAGTTTTTGACAAGTGAAATGTGAAATACATAAATTTGAAGTTTCAAGGATAATATTTATATTCTTGTAGATTGTACGAGTACCATGGCCTATGTGTTAATGCAATTCAAATTGGTGAATTTTAAAGGGATTGTAGTACATGGCCTATGTGTTAATGTCCAACTTATTTTCTGCAGGTGGGAAAAAACACATGCTCTTCTCATTGAAGGAGGCCTTACATACAATGCAATTCAAAATTCAGTGGCTAAAGCCACAATTGCATTCCGAGACGGTGTAACTGAGCTTTTTGAACTTTTAGAGGTACAGTATAGCCACTATCAGCTGTTGTTTTCTGAGACTTCTTGAGATGATGTTTGATGAATGTCAATGCAACATATATGATCCATTGGGATTTTCTCGTGTGATTTGAAATTTCTATTAGAAAGAAAGCTGATGGGTTAGTTCAACGAAGAGCTAAAGTATAGATTATAGGACCAATCTAAGATGTTAAGAACCTTAAATGCTTTTATTTCTGTTTTTGTTTTTTGTTTTTCGACCTTTGAAAGTCCTAGAATATCAGGCTTAACCACAGTTCAAATTTTGTTTAGAAAAAAAAAAAGTTGAATGCTGATGCCGAAGTTGTTAGTCAATTATCCTAGAATAGCTCTTCTCAGAAGAGTTTCCTTTTGACCCTCTATTCTTTCCTGTGATTGCTTCATAATGACTTGGATCTGTTTGATATGCAGGAAAAAGGTGTACCTGTTCTTATATTCTCTGCAGGTTTAGCTGACATAATAGAGGAGGTTAGTTCTTCAGGCTTGTCAGTGGTCTTGATGCATAACAGGTGGATGCGATTGTGTCACATTTGTCCAATTTGGCTTTAGATACGAAGTCTCATCTTCTTGATTTGGCAGGTGCTGAAGCAGAAAGTTCATAGATCTTTCAAGAACGTTAGAATTGTCTCCAACAAGATGGTGTTTGACGAAAATGGTCGCCTACAGTCATTTAAAGGTATCACCTATCGCCATTAGAGGTGTTCTTTTTGCTTACATTAAAGAGTGCTTTAAGCAGTTTCCGCTGATGTTTTGATTCATAATAAATCTGCATGGGCTACCAAATTTTACCTATTCCTCAAAGTTTGCGAATTGCCTTCAGGTTGTAAGTTTAAGCTTCAATGGAGGCATAAGCTGCTCTAGTTATGCCTCCTTGGAGGAACAAGTAGATAAAGACTTTTATTTTCTTATATTCTGACAATATAAAGAATATAAAGTATTTAAGCTATCAGGTTATTTAACGACCAACCACATTTGATTTTCTGTAGTGTGGATTAGTAACTTAAAAAAGAGGGTAGTTAGTTGTTACTACGGATCAATTAGTCACTTTTTTACATTGTTGGTGTATATAAGACCTTATCAAAAAGAATAAATCTAAAATTGGTCTATATAAGTTAAATTCACTACTTAAAAGTAACACACTTGCAGTAATGTAGAATGAAAAATACCTTTGTCATTTATGTTTAGTAAAATATCTTGAAACATCTGAGTTTACTTGTAAAAAATAGCTTTCTCCTTTTTATCTTTATCAAATTCTTGAATATAGAGACATTTGAATATAAAAATTTATAGTTCAAAATATTATTAGTTATACTGTTTTGACTCAAAACAAATGCCACGGTTATCCAAAACAAATGCGGGTCAAACAGTCTAATTTTTGGATTTTCGGATACATGGATATCCTTTAAAAATAAAACAGTCTAAATAAAGTACTACAGTCCGACCTTCTTGAAGATTTAAAATATTTAAAGAAATATTTTAACTCTTCGTCAAGAAAAGTGCAGTAATTGTGTCATAAAATTGGGATAAGGGTGGTAAAGTTCTCTCTTTAAGGAAAAAAATTATTTGTTGCGTCCTTGCATTTTTAATGTATTTAATAAGATTAAAATAATAAATAGCTAAATTATTACAAAATGATGATATTCCAATATATTTCTCTATAATGACAATTATTTGATAGTTCCATCTGACTAAACCATGGTAGATAAAGTGATTCTGTACTTGTGCCGGTAGGAAGCAACATGTGACCTGGTGAATTAGAGGAGGTGTGCACGAGTTGGCCTAGATAGCAGAGTTTTTAAGAAATGAAAAAGGGAAGATAGTCCATATTCTTATACTGGATTACTACAACACTATCTTTAGTTTATTTTGTACCTACAATTATTAAAACATAATTTCACTGACAAATAAACTTAAACCATTTATTATATTTTTTTCCAATCAAATAGATAAAGAAGATATCAGTTGTAATTAAGATTTTGGTATTGCTACACTTGGTTGGGATAAGTGTAAATTTAGAGTCTCACAAGAGTCAGAGAGCTCTTAATTTGCCTTAAACTACATTACTTCAATATCACTATGAAATATGTCCAAATACGGCAGACTATACAGAGGATTCAAATCAGCGACCTCAAGTAGATTGGTACATTAAGACAGTTGATTGACTAATTTGATTGATTGAAACAAATAAGGACGAATTCTTTTATGATTTTTTTGAATTTTATTTTTTCCAATAAATGCGAGTTTGTCCTCCATAGTTTTGGGCATTTATAAGGCAAATGTAAATATGGAAATCTAAATCATGAAAACACATGAACACTAAAAGACTACATAATTAAGACTCTTCTATGTAGTATAGATTAGTTTAGGAGTGGAGTTCAAGCTCTGTAACGAATTGATTAATAGCTGATCATTGGCTGAACATCTTGATCCTAGTAGTTACTGGTAGATACTAAGCTTCTACACATATTTGATCTGCGGAGGCATATCAAGCAAAGTAAATTGCATGGATATTTCTTGTATTGTTGGTCATTTACATCCTTTTTCTAAAATTAAGAACACTAACTGAACCTGCAGGTAAGACAATCCATGTACTCAACAAGAATGAGCATGCACTTGACATGGCCGCACCACTTCACGATCACTGCGATGACCTGAATGGACTGGGCGATGAGAAATCTTCATTAAAGAAGAGAACTAATGTGCTACTCCTTGGTGACCACATTGGAGATTTGGGAATGTCAGATGGCTTGGATTATGAAACAAGAATATCTGTGGGTTTTCTGTAAGTATCTCATCATGTTTTCTTATTCATCAAATTCGAAAAAAAACTAACAGAGATATCAGATAACAGAGAACATTACACTGCTCATAGAATGAATATATATATATATATATATAAGAATTAACACAGTTGCCAATACCTCAAACCAATTAAATAAGCTAGAGAGAGAAGTAGAAAGTTTGAGAATGTTTGTGAGCCAATGTCTCACGTCATGACCTCAAGTTGGTGCATGCGATATCCAAGCTTATTGATTGTAATTATAATTGTTGTAACCCCATAGTTAGAGAAATTAGGTGCTCACGTCCCATAATCGAAGTAGGAATGTGTCACGACCCAAAATCCGACTAGTCGTGATGGCACCTAACCCAACCCCCTAGGTAAGCCAATTATCAACTATCCAATTCCAATGAATTTAATAAGGCAATTAATTAAAAGAAAATATATGAAACCAATACATTTCCCCAAGAACTGGTAGTACAAATCATGAGCTTCTAAGAATAAAGTTTACAAAGGTGGTATGAAATAAATACATCATCTGTTTGAAAGGTGCATAAACAGAGTTTTATGAATCTAAGGCTACCATGAACAAGGGGCAGCTGTGACTGGATCGCAGGTACATCTTCAATGCTAGTTCTCGCCATGCACAACATCAACATCCAAAATCTGCACGCAAGGTGCAGAAGTGTAGTATGAGTACAACCGACCCCATGTACTCAATAAGTAACAAACCTAACCTTAGGTTGAAAGTAGTGACGAGCTTGTACCAAGGTCAGGGTCTAGCTCCGATAACCAACAACAGTTCATAACAACATGAAGCGAGTAATACAAGAAGTAACTCAAAGAATAAACGCTCAGCTACATCATAATTTCTGAAAATAATTCTGCCTTTCCAGTGTATCAGTGAAAATCCAAATCGTTTACCAAAAATATAAGAAAGTTTGAAAACAGTAATTTTTCCCAAAAATCCTTTCAACAATGATAAGATGTTTTATTTTCTTTCCAGATAACCAGTGGAAAATGCATCACTATGCCCATATGCCAATATGTGTGAGAAGTCATGAATGACGTGATACCGTACAACATGAGGAAAGTGCATCTCTATGCCTTAATGCCAAATGTGCATGTCAATGCGATGCAACTCAGTGATAAAATCATATGCATACTCTCAGAGTATCATTTCACTCCGTCCTCCCAATCACTCAGTCCTCCCAGTCACTCAGTCCTCACAGTCACTCAATCCTCCCAAATCACTCGCCACTCGCGCTCGGCACTCGTACTCGGCACTCGCACTCAGTAGGTACCTGCGCTCACTGGGGGTGTGTACAGACTCCGGAGGGGCTCCTTCAGCCCAAGCGCTATAATCTGTACGGACAACTCACATGCTGCACGGACAACTCACGTGCTATAGTATCAATATCTGTATCCGCACGGACAACTCACGTGCTATAATAAGCTAATCTGGCCTGCTGCGGCATGCAACCCGATCCCATAATAATAAAGTATATAAAACTAATATGGCCTGCTGAGGCGTGCAATCCGATCCCATAATTATCCTCACAATCAGGCCCTCGACCTCACTCAGTCATCAATCTCTCCAGTCTCTCGGGCTCACAATGTCATGAAACTAGACCAAAAATGATGATATGATGAATCAATAAATAGCAATAGAGACTGAGAGATGATATGAAATGAATGAACATGAGTGAGTATGAATTTACAATTTAAACAAATAAATTACACCAATATGACCTTTGTGGGTCCCAATAATACTGGTACATAGCCTCAACATGATTTTTAATATGATCCTCAGCTCAATTTCTTTAGCACATAAAACTACATAGAAAATGCCAAGATTATTTGACTACAAAATTCCGCGAAAACAATTATGTCACAATTTCCATAGTGCACGCCCACACGCCTGTCACCTAGCATGCGCGTCACCTCCCAATAATTCACATAATACATATATTCAGGGTTCATACCCTCAGCTTCAAGATTAGAAGAGTTACTTACCCCAAACAAGACGAATCCAATGTCGAGCAAGCTAAACAATGCTCCAGAAATCCCATTCTGCACGTACCAACTTCTGAACGGCTCGAATCTAGCCACAATTAATTCGATTCAGTCAATACCAATTATTGTAATCAATTCCATAAGGAAAAACTAATAAAAATCCGAAATTAACTCAAAAATTGCCTGTGGGGCTCACGTCTCGGAATCCGACGAAACTCACAAAATCCGACAACCCATCCAATTACAAATTCAACCATACTAATTTCACTCAATTCCGACTCCAAATCGATGTTCAAAACTCGAAATTAAACCAAGAAGGTTTTCTAAATTTTTCAACTTAATTCACCCATTAAATGATGGATTCAAAGGCATAATCATGGAAATTAATCAAAACTGGATAAAAATCACTTACCCCAAACACCCACGCAAGAATCTCTCCAAAAATCGCCTTCTACCGAGCTCCCAATTTGATTCTGTGTTATGAACTCAAAACCCCCGTTTTGGAACTTTTAATTCTGCCCAGAAATGCCTTCATCGCGTTCGCGAAGCACAAAAATGTGCTGCCAAGATTCCTTCTTCGTGTTCGCGATCTCCTCATCGTGTTCGCGATGCCTTCCGACCTCTGCCCTTCGCGTCCGCGAGACACGAGCCGCGTTCGAGAAGGCTTAACGCCAGGCAGGCCCCCAGCTCCCTTTCCTCTCCGCGTTCGCGTCCGCCCACTCGCGTTCGCGTAGGCTTTCCCCAACTCCCTTTTCGCGTTCGCGTCTCCTTCATCGTGTTCGCGATGGGCAAATCCCAACAACCCAAAATCCTTCTTCGCGTTCGCGAAGAACAACACCAGACACCAGTTCCAGCAGTTGCAAAACAAGGAAAAATGATCCAAAACCATCCCAGAACTCACCAGAGCCCCCGGGACCTCAACCAAACATACCATCAAGTCCCAAAACATCATGCGAACTTAGTCGAACCCTCAAATCACCTCAAACAACACTAAAACCACGAATCATACCCCAATTCAAGCCTAATGAACTTTGAAATTTTAAATTTCTACAAACGACGCCGGAACCTATCAAGTCAAGTCCGATTGACCTCAAATTTTGCACAAAAGTCATAAATGATATAACAGACCTATTAAAATTTTCAGAATCGGATTCCGACCCCGATATCAAAAAGTCAACCCCCTGGTCAAACTTCCCAAAAATTCGACTTTCGCCATTTCAAGCCTAATTCCACTACGGATCTCCAAATAATTTTTCAGACACGCTCCTAAGTCTAAAATCACCATACTGAGCTATTAGAATCATCATAATTCGAATCCGAGATCGTTTACACATAAATCGACATCCAGTCGACTCTTCCAACTTAAAGCTTTCCATTAAGAGACTAAGTGTCTCAATTCATTCCGAAATCTCTCCGGACCCGAACCAATTACCCCGACAAGTCATACAACAACAATAAAGCATAAATTGAGAACTAAATGGGGGAACATGACCGTAATACTCAAAACGACCGTCTGGGTCGTTACAAAATGGTGCCACTATCAATAAAATTTGCAATCTTTTTCAGTCATAAGGCTTTGAACTTTCCAAGATAAGCTTCCATTGAAGATTTCTTCAAATTTGTCAAGTCATTAACAATAAGATGAAATGAGTTGATACTGATGACATACAAAGGTTTGTTCCAACAACAAACATTTAGCCCAACTCTCTAAATGGATAAAAGCTGAAGTAAAGAACTTGTGACCGCAAGAAATACACTGGTGAGCATCAGTTCTCTCTGACGCACTTTTTTATTCTCTGAAATCTTGAAGAGTTCTAGTTAGATGGTTGACAACTCCTTGTCCTTTGTATCATTTTTCAATGGTAAAGAAAGGACTTACCCCATTGCATGAAGTGCTCCCTTGCTAACTAGTTTGGGGTAGGAGAGATTGAAGGCATATAGTACGAAGCCTTCCCCTTGCATTTGTGGCTTACAAGGTTTTACCCTTCGAATTTGTGGCTTACAAGTTACCAAAGGAGCAATTTTACTATAGTCATAAGGCTCGCCCTCAATTATAATTCGATTGATCAGACCGCAAAGTAGTAATTTGTAACAAATTACTCTTTTTTGTGATAACTGAGAAATATATTATATCCAAATTCAGAACTTGATGGATACTTTACCCTTCTCCACTTAAATACAAGACCTGATTCATTCATAACAGGATTCAAACTTGTAACTCACGCCTACCACACATCCCATGTTGTACTACCTTTGCCATTGAATCAAAGGTCTGGGCACAATTTCCAACAGATTTTTTTAGTCGCGCTTGTAAGATTACCATAGATATGAGGATATGTGTTCCCAAGAAGCCATCGGTAAGGTGGGGATAGCAAGAGTGGATTGGAGTGACTGATTTGCCTAATCTATTATGAACTGATAAAATACCCCTTCATAAGAAAAGCAAAAATATCAAATTGCTTATTGATGTTTTTCTAATTCAATGTACAGTAGATTCTTCTTCTTCTTCTTCCTCCTTTTTTCCTTTTAGATGGAAAAGTCCACTCTCAAACCCCCTACCTATTAGCCAATGGTGGCTCTTATTCAGCTTTGCAATGGTGGCTCTTATTCAGCTTTGCTCTTGGAGGTTGAGGACCTTTACCCGTAGGATGTCCATCCCTTGATTTCAATGGGTAGTAGTTCTATTGTGGAAAAGATTCCTACCGTGATGTATTTAGCATCTGAATATGTGTGATTGCAAAATATGACTTCTTAACTAAGCCAAAATATTTGGTCCTTTCATGCATATCCATTATGGAATCATCTTCTTTTTGAATAAAATATATGTTTACAGATGAATTGGGTTTGTTTTATCCTAAACACTACTCAATAAAAGCTTCCAGTGTCTGTCTTTCAATTTGCAGCTTGGGTCCATACCATAAGCTCCTATATCGGTTTCAACTTTCTTGAGGATTTGTTGCGACCAAACACACACGCAAGTATACGTG